GATCTCCTAAATTTATAGTATGTTCTCCTATTTCCATCCTCATGACAGGTAGTGACAAAGGTCTGAGAATTCAGAGATATGTAGTACTGTGCCTCAGCAGAGAAAGGCTTCCCAAACAACTGGTGAACTCCTGTGTATTATACAGATCAGTGCAAAATAATTTCTGAACATACTTAATTATTTAGGTGGCACCCTTGCTCACAGACTAAGTTTGTGAGAACAGCCATAGAGTTGTGAAGTCTGAGAAAAATGAAGTAAATATGAAAGTGTTATCAAGGACGGGGTAAAAATTTGTGAAGGACAAATTCCAGAAAGGGCTACTTGTTAAATTCTCATCGAAAAATGCCAAAATTTACACATTTGCATGGTCATATACACGTGATACCCTTCTGAATGGAAAGGAATAGGGGTGTCACCTCTGAATTAAGAGCTGATTTAGTAGCTTGGTTAATAGACAGTTTAAATATGGAAATTCTCTACAATGGACTTATCTAAGTGGTGTAAATGAGAAGCCCTAAATAGAAATTTTGCAGTGATATCGATAGTTAGGCATGAAGGGTTTTCTGCTTAGGATGGATCAGAGGAGTGTGGAAAAGATGTGGAAGTGGCTGACAGGATGCAGGCAGCAAATAGCAGGACATACAACAGAGAGGGTCTTCACTGAAAGTCAGGTAGTTCTTAGAGTAAGTGTGAAGTAAAGTTGGGTTCTGATTGCTTCACTGAGGTGATCAACACCAGCTCTGGCAACAATCAGTATTCCACATCCCTGTCAACCCATAATTTTTGTGTTCCATACTTGAGATCTAATTTGATTATCTCTAATTATGCCCCATTGTCATGAAGCTGAAATTTTCAATTTTTTTGTACCAAGGTTCAAACGCATGACCTATGCTTTCCAGGCAGGTGTTCATGACACTGAGCTAAATACGCAACTATGAAAATATTTTCTGTGTAGTATGGATGATATCCACATTGTTTCTGAGAAAGTGTTGAATATTGTTGGAATTTTTCTGTATTGTGTGGCTATAATTTTTTTAAAACTAACCAAAGGTGTGTTATGCAGTCTCTTTTTAAGTTTCACTTTGTCTGTTCGGTGTCTCAATCAGGGTTTTCTATTTTAGACAGCTCTGTAAGTTAGGAAAGCCCCAAATTCAAGGAAGAAATCCTTCACCAGCCTCCCAAGATATATTTCTTATATTTGAATTGAAAGTGATCACTTGGTGACAGTGATGTTTAATTTACAGCTTGGGCCTGGTTTCATTTTATATACATATTTTTAAAATATAGCTGTTTTCCACAAACACTTGAGGTATTATTTATATACCATATTTGATGTTATTTATGTTTTGTTCTATGAAACCAAATTCATGTTTCAAAATGCTGCTTAAGTATATTAAGAACAAAGTACTCATTGGCCTAAATGAGATTTGAACAGACATCATCTGTAGTCTATTATAGTGATTACTAAGATTTTTTATTTAATATTGAAATTGGTAAAATAGAACAGAACAAGGCAGCTTAAGGTCAACTAAGATCACACAGTGAAATTGGTACACAACTTCACAACAGGTTACTGGGATAACAGTATTATGTATCACAGTATATTTTGTTATCTTTATCATAGTTGTTCTTTAATCACATATATCAAAATGAGATGAAATGCAGAACATTATAGAACGTATCAAAACAGAATATTGAATTGAGCAGTACCATTAATCAGAATAGAGTGAAACAATAATAAAAATGTTTTCCTTCAAGGAGATAGTAGAAGGAAGTCCCCCTTATTTGCTATGGTCTACTTCCCAGGAGATGCTCAGATTTCTGGTTCCCATTTGCTAATGTGGGGTGACAGGACAAGAGGGGTAGGGAAGTGGGATGTTTGATTCTAGGTGGTGCATCAGTAGGTTCAGTGTTGCTTACTAGGGAGACAGGCTGGTTGTTTGGTTTCACAGCGCCCTAAGTTCCAACATAGAACGGATCTTAGGAGCTGCTGCTTGTTATCCCCCTGGAAGGGCTGCAGTTTTCCAGACTGCCACCACTGACTAGGGAGGGGAGGTGCTTGCTTGGCTTCCAAGGCAAGTGATGAGACATTTATCTGCCTCTGTGCTTTGTGGTTGCTGGTCCTGCAGGCTTCTCACTGTGAGCTCTGCTTTAGAGAAAGAGCACAGGGAATCTTGCCATGACTCAGCACAAGAATCAGTGCTCCTATTTGGCTGTTATATTAGCAGTGAGTTGCAATCTAGTATCAAATTTGCTGTCTTCAAAAATGTATATAGACACAAAATTAACGACCAAGACATAGATTTAAATTTGAACAAATCAGTCTTCATTCAGCTGTTTTGTTTGGCTTTATTTGTTGAGTTTAGTTTTGTTTTATTGAGACAAGCTTTCTGTATGTATATCAGCTGGATTTGAACACCCTATAGAGCCTAGAATAGGCCTGACCTCACTGATGCCTTCCTGTCTCACCTTTTGAATGCTGGGATTATAGATATGCACCACCACACTTTGCTTTTGATTCAGATTTTTAGGAGAGAATTTAAGATATCACAAACCTGGGGTCTCAAGCTTCCTTTGAGAATTATATGTATGATCCTCTAGGAGGCGGTGATCTTTGAGGATGTGGTTGTGAACTTCAGCAATGAGGAGTGGAGTTTGCTGAGTCCATCCCAAAAGAACCTCTACAGAGATGTGATGGGTGAAATCTTTAGGAACATGGCTGCAATAGGTAAGGATGAAATCTTTTTTGGCACTCATGCTGTCAGAATATTGTTTGTTGCTCATTAGTGCTGTTTTGTAAAAAAGAATATGAAAATATTTTTAAAAATAGCTCAGACCTGGACACATTATATCATAAATCTAAACAAAATCTATTAATTTGTATGTATTACTCAACTGAGTCCTGGTATTTCTATGTCTACAATTCAGGAGGACTTGGGGATATCCAGGAAGCTGAAAAAGAATGCAAAATTTACTGGAGGTACTTAAGGTAATTCACACTCACAAGGAGAGGAATGTTCTTGAGTAATTAGTGAGTCAGCAGAAAAATGACCACCAAAGAAATGAGGCACCATTCAATTTAATGTCAGTAATATTCTCCAAAGATGTATAAGCTAGTGTATATATGAGGGAATTAAATCATGAAAATGTATGACATTGCATATAGATCTGTACGAAAGGCATGCACTTTGAGTTATGACATTCTGCCTTCAGTTTTTCTACCCATATATACATGTGAATACAACACATTCATTATCTAACAATTGCTAAGATTGCAATAGAATGTGAAATAAAACTGAGTGCTCATGTTTCCAAGCCATGGTCTAGACAATTGGCGATTCTGACTAATATTCTTAGTAGGCTGGTGGAATGTTAGTGCACTCATTTTGAATATCAGTATGCAGTTGTCTCTAGAGATTGATCCCCTCATACTTGTCCTGGATATTTTTAAAATCTCAAAATCTGCATAAAATACTGATACATGCTTAGTCATATACGAAGCAGATCAAGTTATGACAGATCAGGCCTTGAAGCTTATCTATCTATCACTGCATTTGTGGAGAAGGAAAATTTTAATAGACTCTCTGTGATTTTACATTCTTGTAAACCCAGCACACTAGGGTTTGCAAATCTGTTTGCAGAATGGCAATTTCAAGTTCAAACTTCACAGCTTAATGATCTATGAAAATCTGTTAAAATAGATTTTTAAAAAGCTATAGATTTATGCTAATATCTGTTGCTCATTCCCAGACCAGAATGGAAAAAATGTGTTATATAATGTCAAAAAATAAATAATATAATGTCATTTGCCATAAGAATTAGATGGGTCTTTCACCCATCAATTCAGTGAAATAACTCAGCTATAAAACCTAAAAGGTCACTGGCTTTCTCTTAGAGGAGAAACCAAAATACAAAATGTGGAAAGAAATGAAACAGAGTTGTTAGAGAAAAGTAAGACTGACCAGATGGAAAAGGGAACTACAAGTTAAGGACAGAAGGAAGATTGTGATGGGGAAACATATGAGAATAATCTGCATGTGATACATATATGTACCCATTTCCAAAGTGAAGGTAAAGATTATGCATTTCAAAGTACCAACTTTTAAGATTTCCAAATGTGTACCAGTCTTTTGGGAATGGTTGTTTTCAACATATCTTACAAGGCCATTCTGTTGCTTCTTGGTCAGAATTTCTTAGCAGGCATTAAAAACAGAACTTGATATTAATGCAGTCATTAAATGGAGACCAATTTCACAGTGAATTTTTCTTTTTTTAAATTTAATATAAGGAAAGATTAAATAAGACAAAATAAGTAGAAATAATACTGCATTCAAAGTGAAAAAAAGCAGTAGCAAATAGCAAGATGATGATTACGAATGCTGATCATAGAAATAGTCATGAAATACAAAAGTGAAACATATCAAGTGGGGATTCAAACAATGAGACTGCAAACAGTTTTGTTCAACTCTCGAAAAAAGCTTAGTAATATGGTTATAAATCCTATATGTGATTTTTTTCTTTCCAGAAATGACAAGCTAGGGATATCTTATGAACATACTTGGAAGCAGTATAAAGAAGTATTCCTTTGTACTGCAGAAGGTAATGTGAATGTGAAAGAAACAGAAACACACCACGATGTTCAGATCCATGAAAAATATTGCAGTCGAGGGAAACCCTATGTATGCAAACAATGTGGGAAAGTTTTTAAAACACGTGAATATTGTAAGGTTCATGCAAGAATTCACACTGGAGAGAAACCCTATGTGTGTAAGCAATGTGGAAAAGGTTTCATGCAACCTGGAAATTGTAAGGAACATGAAAGAATTCACACTGGAGAGAAACCATATATGTGTCAGCAATGTGTAAAAGAATTCAACAAATCAAAACATTGTAAGCAACATGAAAGAATTCACATTAGAGAGAAACCCTATGTATGTAATCAATGTGGGAAAGCTTTTACCAGACATGAATGTTTTAAACAACATGAAAGAATTCACAGTGGAGATAAACCATATGTATGTAAACAATGTGGGAAAGCTTTTAACACACGTACAAATTGTAAGGTTCATGAAATAATTCACACTGGAGAGAAACCATATGTGTGTAAGCAATGTGGGAAAGCTTTTACCAGACCTGGACGTTGTAAGGCACATGAAAGAATTCACACTGGAGAGAAACCATATGTATGTAAGCAATGTGGGAAAGCTTTTACCAGACCTGAATGTTGTAAGCAACATGAAAGAATTCACACAGGAGATAAACCACATGTATGTAAGCAATGTGGGAAAGCTTTTAACATACGTGCAAGTTATAAGGTTCATGAAAGAATTCACACTGGAGAGAAACCATATGTATGTAAGCAATGTGGGAAAGCTTTTAAAACACAGGGAGATTGTAACTATCATGAAAGAATTCACACTGGAGAGAAACCCTATGTATGTAAGGAATGTGGGAAAGCTTTTACCAGACCTGGATTTTGTAAGGAACATGAAAGAATTCACACTGGAGAGAAACCATATGTATGTAAGCAATGTGGGAAAGCTTTTAACACATGGGGATACAGTAAGCAGCATGAAAGAATTCACACTGGAGAGAAACCCTACGTATGTAAGCAATGTGGGAAAGCTTTTAACACACGTGCAAATTGTAAGGTTCATGAAAGAATTCACACTGGAGAGAAACCCTATGTATGTAAGCAATGTGGGAAAGCTTTTACCAGACCTGATCGTTGTACGGAACATGAAAGAATTCACACTGGAGAGAAACCCGATGTATGTAAGCAATGTGGGAAAGCTTTTACCAGACCTGATCATTGTAAGGAACATGAAAGAATTCACACTGGAGAGAAACTATGTGCATGTAAGCAATGTGGGAAAGCTTTTAACACACGTGCACATTGTAAGGTTCATGAAAGAATTCACACTGGAGAGAAACCCTATGTATGTAAGCAATGTGGGAAAGCTTTTACCAGACCTGGACATTGTAAGGAACATGAAAGAATTCACACTGGAGAGAAACCATATGTATGTAAGCAATGTGGGAAAGCTTTTAACACACGTGCAAATTGTAAGGTTCATGAAAGAATTCACACTGGAGAGAAACCATATGTGTGTAATCAATGTGGGAAAGCTTTTAAAACACAGGGAGATTGTAAGAAACATGAAAGTTCACATTCAATATAAAACCAGTGTATATAGGCATCATGAGAATGGTTTCAGCACAGGTATATATTGCATAATGCATGAAAATCTTCACACTGGGCAGAAAACTTACATATGTTAAGAATGTGGGAAAGGTTTCTGCAGAAATGCTCATTCTCCAATACATTATAAAATTTGCATGGTTGAGAAACCCTGTGTGTTTGTGAAGAATGTGGGAAAGCTTTCACCACACATGGATTTTGTAAAATACATCTATGACTTCACACTGGTGAGAAAGCCTATGTGTATAACAATGTGGCAAAGCTTTTACTGCATATAGTCATTGCAAAACACATGAAAAAATTCACACTGGGAAGAACCACTGGCTATGTAAGCAAGTGGAGACACTTTCAGCAGCCAGATTGTAAGGGAAATACATGAAAAAAACTCACACAAGAGATAAACCCTTTGTGTTATGGGAATACTATCAGCATACTTGATCATTGTTACATATCTGAAAGAGCTCACTAGGCAGAGATGATATGTGGATTACCAATGTGAGAAATATAGCAATCCATGTTTCTTGTTAAATACATAGAAAAAGCATCACTGTTCAGACAGTTTAGATCTAAGTTTACTTTAAAAATCCCAAGGAGACCTGAAGAAATAATCGATACAGAAGTTAGATGTCAATATTTCTTCACAAATATTCCAGAAATGACAAATCTGTGGTGGGGCTCTCCTTAGGTGCACATGTTGTATGGTTTTCAGTTAATCACTTGTTCCTCTCTAGATTTATTAATCTAGATGTTTTTGTGCTTCAACATGGCATCTTGTAATTAAACATGCTAAACTGAAATGGGGCTTTTCACTTTCAAGTATGGATAGTGCCTCTATACTTAATATTTTGTCTTTAGAAGTTAAATTTTGTATTTTCTGAATTGTAATGTTGTTTATTTAAAGAGAAAAAAACTGTAGAAATAATACAGAATTTCAGAAAAATAAACAATAAGAAATCACTAGTTGATTAGTATTATATTGTCATCTTAGAAGTAGTTGTTCAAGTTACAAATTTAAAGCATACAAAGTGATATTCAAATAATGACACTGTCACGGTTCACCTCAATGATCCACCAAAAAGTTATTAATATGCCTATCTGTCCTACACACTGTTTTTTCTTAAAGAGGGTAAGATTAAACAGAGCAAAACAGTTCATAAGGAAACAAGTTAAGGAAACACAGATTTCAAAGCAAGTCCACTGGAAATGTTCACTGTCTATTTTACTGTCTCTAGATTTTTTCCAAATAGTTGTTTCCATCCTCACACACATTGAATATATACTGAATATTATAGAACTATTCAAATAATTACAGGATGATGCAAGCTTTTTTGATCTTCAAGACTTATTTGGGGGAAGTCGATAATGACTACCATAATGTCTGTCATGGTCTTTGTAGTAGCTGTCTTTATCTTTATGTATGCTGAAATGGAACATAAGAGACTAGACTAATATCACTCTGAACAGTGAATAATAGTATCCTGAGAAGGAGAAAGCTGAGGAATTGCCTAAAAAAAGAAGGCAGAGGACATAGTTAAAAGTGTATCAGGATTTAAAAGCTACAGTAGTCTTGTTGCTCTGTATAGTTTGGTTATATTTTGTTATGTTCTGTCTACTCATATTAGATTTGAGGGCACAGAGAGATAACCCAAAAATAGCAGGTTGTACCATGGTAATTATCCTTAATTTCCTATTAACTAAAACTGAATCCCTATATTACTTACATTGTCTTCTATGACTGATCTTCTTTGAAGCTAGATTGTTTCAATGTTATTTGGCCTTGACTGATTTTATTCACATTTGATATGCTTGCTGGTATCAAGTTCAAGAGCAGAAGCAACTACTCTGAAGATGACAAGGTGTAAAAGATATCCATTGGTGGGCTGGGGATTTAGCTCAGTGGCTTAAGGCACCTGCCTGGCAAGTGTGAGGTCATGAGTTTGATCTCCAGAGCCAAAAAAATAAATGAATAAAAGATACCCATTCCAGGTTTGATTATTTGTTTAATTAAAGAGAAGAAAGGAAATAAAAAACAAAGCAGTAAAAGGGTACAAGTAATACAGAATTTCAAGAAAAAATACAGTAAGAAATCACTAGTTAATAGGTTACATATTGTCATTGCTAGGGTTATTTCCAAAAGATGAAAAATATTAACAAAAGATGAGAAATATAAAATAAAAAGTGGCCTTTATTCTGAGAACATGGAGAGAGATGACAGGCACCCCCACCGCTGGCGTCCAGTGATCTCTCTGGCGGACACGTGGCATGGGGGCCTGTAAATAGGCTTGGTTTGGGGTGGAACCTAAGGCGGGCATTAGGGATACACAGGTAGTCCATTGGTCTTAGGTTTGGCGCCCTATGTAAATTTCCATGGGTGGGAAGATGGCATCACAGGTAACTTCCTAGGGGCAGGGGAGATGGGGCTTCCTGCTTCCGGTTGTGGCTTTCCTGGCTACAGTGTCCTATCTGGGCCAAAACCCTTTCAGTCATCTTAGAAACAGTTGTCCAAATTATAAAATTAAAGCATATAAAGTGGACATTCATACAGTGAGATTGCAGAAGGTTCTGTTCAGTGATCCAACAAAAGCTCAGTAATATGATTTTCCATCCTACACACTCAAGCATGCAGTTATATCCCTTAGACCACCTTCCTTTCCTCTCTTTTTTACAATAACAGTTACACGTTTTGAGTTTTTTTACTCCCACAGTTCTTATTACATTTTTTTGAAGAGAATAAATCCTAACATGACTAAATAAAACAGAGACAGTTAGAAAAGAAGGATGGGCATAGTACATGATGCAAAAATAGAATATCAGATGATCAAAAATGGTTACCATGGTGCCTCTTGCTATTTTTAAAAAGAGTTGCTATATCATCAGGTATAATAGAATTGATCAAAACCGTACAGAACAAGACCAATAAAACCTACACTGGAAACCTTGCAAGACTTCAAAAGAAGATAATAGTCAAACTATAATGGGCCATCACAATAAATCTTATGGCCTTCAAAGTGGTTGTCTATACGCTCAAACTTGATATTATCAAACAAAATAGAATATAGTAAAATCAGACAGAACAAGATGTGGAGAGCAATACTGGGGTTCAAATCAGGTTAATAGGAAAACTAATAGTTACTATAATATATCCCGCTATTTTTAAATTTAGTTTTCCCTTAATTGAAAAAAATAAAAAAGTTTAATTTTAAAAAAGGGTGGAGATTGAGATAAAAGAGGATATTGTAATAGAACAACACTGGTCAGAATGGAACAATTTAAACATAATTGTGTTTCACTCCCAGATAATCTAACATAATAGTAGTCACCATAGTGCCTCATTATTTGAATTATTTGAGTATAACTTTGTATACAATAGCATCAAACATATCAAGACAGTGTAAAGCCATTCAACAGAATGAAAGAATTACAGGGTATTTAGAACCAGTTAACAGAACATGAACAATGGTTTCTATATTATCTCCTTGCCTATAAAATTTTTCTTTATACTATCACATACAGTAAAATATAGTAAGATACAACATGTTAAAACCAGTGGAAACAGTTTGTTAGAGAGGGACCATTCTTGCACCACTGAGATTGAGTCCAGTGTTGATCATGTTGGCTAATTTTGAATATGCTGGTGAGATAACATTGCAAACATTTAGCTGAACACTTTTGTTTATGTTTGGTAGGAATATTAGCCAACAGAGTGTTTTCATTTATTTTATTTTTAACACATTATTGTCTGGCTTCATTCTCAGGATAACTTTAACTTTGTCACTTAAAAGAAGTTGGTGCTGGGTTTTTCTTCAACTTCATCAAAGAACTGAAAAAATATCAGTATTTATTCTTTATTATATACTGGATAAAATTCACCAGTGCACTTTTTGTATCCCAGCTTTGTTGTTGTTATTAAGAAGCTGTGATTTTTACCCACTGCCTGTGCTCCTTATTGCTCTGTTCATCAGACTGTTTCCTTCTGATGCATGTGGCTGGGGACATCAATGGACACCACATATCCATTAAGGGTCAAATCTCATTTTACTTATGAATGCTTCCATTTATATTGTATCTTCAAACTATCTCTATAATATATAATTTTGTGAGTAACTCCTTTCAGTTACTCAGTTTTTAATGCACACTCTTGCAGGGTTTGGTTAATGCTGGAGGAAACTGGGGCCGGTGAGGGCCTGGTCTCTTATTTAAGGCTTCATACCCTGACCTGCCTGCAGTGTCCCCATCTCCTGACCTGCTCCCTGTAAACACCTGTCATGCTCCATAACTATGGTGAGTCCACATGTGGCAGTTCAGATCTGCACCTGGGTGGAAAACATTCAGTCAAGTTGGGCTGTGTAACAGACTGACCTCATACAGAGCTCCCCTGAGTGAGAGAGGGGGCCTCAGGCATGTAGGGAAGAGCTCTGGAACCATTCCAGCTCTCTCCTGTGCAGCGTACAGTGTGTGATGCTTTCCTGAGAACTTACTGATGGATGAAGAGGCCTGCACCAGGCCGTTTTAAGCCATGGTGTCCTACACCTCTGCCTGGACCATCTCTCTGACTTTAGATCTCCACATAGATCTGAGCAGACTCAGTCTTCCTCTACCAGGCTCTGTCTCTATGCTGAGGTTTCAGGTGAAAAATCTGGGATCCTCAAATTAATCTTATATATATTTAACCTGGAGATTCCACTTCTAACAGTCATTATAAAAATGAGATTGACAGACACTGCATTCTCTTCTTAATCAGTTAAGATGTAAACTGTTAGA